GTTTTCACTGTCAATTTTTCTTTTCTTTCTTTTTTTTTTTTCCTTTTTTTGCTGTACAGAAGCTCTGAATTTTAATTAGATCCCATTTGTCTAACTTGGCTTTTATTGCCATTGCTTTTGGTGTTTTAGTCATGAATTCCTTGCCTATGCCTATGTCCTGGATGGTTTTGCCTACGCTTTCTTCTAGTGTTTTTATGGTGTTAGGTTTTATGTTTAAATCTCAAATCCATCTGGAGTTAATTTTAGTGTAAGGTGTCAGGTAGGGGTCCAGTTTCTGCTTTCTGCACATTGCCAGCCAGTTTTCCCAACACCATTGATTAAACATAGAGTCCTTTCCCCATTGCTTTTTTTTGTTTGGTTTGTCAAAGATCAGATGGTTGTAGATGTGTGGTGTTGCTTCTGGGGCCTCTGTTCTGTTCCATTAGTCTATGTCTCTGTTTTGGTACGAGTACCATGCTGTTTTGTTTACTGTAGCCTTGTAGTACACTTTGAAGTCTGGCAGTGTAATGCCTTCTGCTTTGTTCTTTTTGCTTTGGAATGTCTTGGCTATGCGGGCTCTCTTTTGGTTCCATATGAAGTTTAAAGTGTTTTTTTCCAGTTCTGTGAAGAAGGTCATTGGTAGCTTGATGGGCATAGCTTGAATCTATGGATTACTTTAGACAATATGGCCATTTTCCTGATATTAATTCTTCCTAACCATAAGCATGGAATGTTTTTCCAGCTGTTTGTGTCCTCTCTTATTTCATTGAGCAGTAGTTTGTAGTTCTTCTTGAAGAGGTCTTTTACATCCTTTGTTAGTTGTATTCTTAGGTGTTTTATTCTCTTCACAGCAGTTGTGAATGGTAGTTCGCTCTTGATTTGGCTCTCTGTTTGTCTATTATTGGTATATATGAATGCTTGTGATTTCTGCACATTGATTTTGTATCCTAAGACTTTGCTGAAGTTGCTTATCAGTTTGAGAAGATTTGGGGCTGAGATGATGGGGTCTTCCAGATATACAATTATGTCAGCTGCAAATAGAGACAGTTTGACTTCCTCCTTTCCTAATTGAATACCCTTTATTTCTTTTTCTTGCCTGATTGCTCTGGCTAGATCTTCCAATACTATGTTGAATAGGAGTGGTAAGAGAGGGCATCCTTGTCAAGTGCCTGATTTCAAAGGGAATTCTTCCAGTTTTTGCCCATTCGGTATGATACTGGCTGTAGGTTTGTCATATATAGCTTTTATCATTTTATGATACGTTGCATCAATACCTAGTTTATTGAGAGTTTTTAGCATGAAGGGCTGTTGAATTTTATTGAAGGCCTTCTCTGCATCTATTGAGATAATCATGTGGTTTTTGTCTTTGGTTCCATTTATGTGATAGATTACATTTATGGATTTGCATATGTTGAACTAGACTTGCATCTCCGGGATGAAGCCTACTTGATAGTGATGGATAAGCTTTTTGATGTGCTGTTGCAATCTGTTTGCCAGTATTTTATTGAAGATTTTTGCATCTATGTTCATCATGGATATTGGTCTGAAGTTTTCTTTTAGTTGAGACTCTGTTTTTGGTATCAGGATGATGTTGGTCTCATAAAATGAGTTAGGGAGGATTCTCTCCTTTTGTATTGTTTGATATAGTTTCAGAAGGAATGGAACCAGCTCCTCTTTGTATGTCTGGAAGAATTTGTCTGTGAACCTGTCTGGACCTGGACTTCTTTTGGTTGGTAGGCTATTGATTGCTGCCTCTACCTCAGCCCTTGTTATGGTCTATTCAGATTTTCAACTTCCTCCTGGTTTAGTCTTGGTAGAGTACAAGTGTCTAGGAATTTATCCATTTCTTCCTGGTTTACTGGTTTTTGTGAATAGAGATGTTTGTGGTAATCTCTGATGGTAGTTTGTATTTCTGTGGGATCAGTGGTGATATCCCCTTTATAGTTTTTTATTGCGTCTATTTGATTTTTCACCCTTTTCTTTTTTATTAATCTGGCCAGCAGTCCATTTTGTTGATCTTTTCAAAAACCATCTCCTAGATTTATTGATTTTTGGAAGGTTTTTTTGTGTCTCTATCTCCTTCAGTTCTGCTCTGATCTTAGTTATTTCTTGCCTTCTACTAGCTTTTGAATTTTTTTGATCTTCCTCTTCTAGCTCTTTCAATTTCAATGATACGGTGTCAACTTTAGGTATTTACTTGTTTCTCATGTGGACATTTATTGCTATAAATTTCCCTCTCGACACTGCTTTAAAGGTGTCCCAGAGATTCTGGTAAGTTTTGTCTTCATTCTGGTTGGTTTTGAAGAACATCTTTATTTCTGCTTTCATTTCATTGTTTATCCAGTTGACACACGGAAGCAAGTTGTTCAGTTTCCAAGTGGTTGTGTGGGTTTGAGTGTGTTTCTTGATCCTGAGTTCTAGTCTGATTGTGCTGTGGTCTGATAGACTGTTTGTTATGATTTCCATTCTTTAGCATTTGCTGAGGAGTGATTTACTTCCAATGATGTGGTCCATTTTAGAGTAATTGCAATGTGTTGCTGAGAAAAATGTATATTCTGTGGATTTGGGGTAGAGCATTCTGTATATGTCTATTAGGCCTACTTGGTTTAGCTCTGCATTCAAGTCCTGGATATCCTCGTTAATTTTCTGTCTCGTTGATCTGTCTAATATTGACAGTGGAGTGTTGAAGTCTCCCACTATTATTGTGTGGGAGTCTAAATCTTGTTTTAGGTCATTAAGAACTTGCTTTATGTATCTGAGTGCCCCTGTGTTGGGGGCATATATATTTAGGTTAGTTAGCTCTTCCTGTTGCATTGATCCTTTTACCATTATGTAGTGTCCTTCGTTGTCTCTTTTGATCTTTGTTGGTTTGAAGTCCATTTTATCATAGACTAGGATTGCAACCCCTGCTTTTTTTTGTTCTCCATTTGCTTGGTAAATCTTCCATCCCTTTATTTTGAGTCTATGTGTGTCTTTTTATGTGAGATGGGTTCCCTGAATACAGCACACCAATGGGCTCTGACTTTTTATCCAGTGTGCCAGTCTGTGTTTTTTGACTGGGGCATTTAGGCCATTTACATTCAATGTTAATATTGTTATGTGTGAATTTGATCTTGCCATTTTGTTACTGGCTGTTTTCTTTCCCATTAGTGGACTCATTTTCTTC